TCCTGGTTCCAATCAAAAGTTTATTTGCAAAACTAAGTCTTGAAAATTGAAATTACATCAGAAAAAACAAGTGCACATAAAGTGTGACATGTGACAGATACAAATGAGGCATTCAAAAACATCTGGAAAAATCAGCAGAGAAGACCAGTAAGACTTCAAACACAGCTCAGGTTAGTTTAAGTTAAAATCATTTCAAAAGGACACACAGTTAAAAAGGAAAAACATGAAGAAATGTCACCAGGCAAAAGAATTCATTAGAACTAGAACAAAACATGTGCATTTACAGCTTCACTTAAATAGATCAAACACTTTTCATTTACAAACTATTAACACTGATGACACAAGAGACTGTTACAACAGGGCTGCACGATATGTGCAAAAGTGACATTTCAACCGCTTCACACCTGATTTACACCTAGTTTAAATTGCAATAAGTCTTTTCTGATGCCTGCTCGTCTCCGTGAACACTTTAGAGCTTTTCCTGGAATGCTCCACAGTATGGCATTAAACGTGTCCATGTCCACTGATACAAGTGAGTGAAGCCACCAGGTCAAGAACTGTTTAGTAATACAAAAACCTGTCATTAAATACATGCACCTTTAATACCATACTATGGAACATTTTAGATAAAAACATCTCCATGGAGACAAGCTCATGACCAACTATCCACCAGAAATGTGACATAGTGCCCCTTTATGGAGTTTAGACTTGCATTAGTCCTGGTTTAGTCTTGGTCAAGTTCTGATTTATGTTTAACCAATAAATGACAAAATATTGTGACTGAAATTTGAAACACAATTATTTAAAGATGCACTATGTCACTTTTTTGTTTGCCACTATGGAGATGTAATCTGTCGGCAGCACCATGTTTGTTGAGGTTCATTTGGGAGCTTTGCCTTTGGCTTCCGCACAAACTTCAGTGTGACTGGTCCGCCTGATTCTCCGGACAGCGGACACAATCCAAGACGGATTCTCTTGAATGTGTGAACTCACAAACAGAAGAAGAATCCATCTTGCTGGACAAGGTTAGAACATTCTAGGCAATTTTCATTCATATTTAATAAGTAAATAAGTAGTTTTGTCAAAATTTAAATGTCAACATTGTGTGATCTCAATTTTCAACATAATTACTAAATGTATTTTTCTAATATCACGCAGCCCTATTAAACAGCTTTAATAAAATATAATATAAAGTAAATTTAAATTGCAAAGACTGCACATTTTAACACTATTGTTAACAAACAGGCATATTGTTTGGCCAGATTTTCTCAAAAAATAAAACTAACAATTAAAAAAATACAAAAACCGTCAGATTTAAACTTTTTCCTCGTGTACATAATCGTATGCTAAGTATCTGTTATCTAATGTATCACACTCTGCTAATCACAACACTGAAAACCAGAACTGGAGTAGGAATCACATTGCTAAAAGTGGAACTACATGGCAACAAGAGAGATTACATTAAGCAGTATTTACAAGACAGCAGTCATTTGGCATTCCCCTATATGCACTGTTAGAATGGCTCAGTTATATGAAAGGCCCTGTACCCAATGCTGAACCACGACTGACAAACATGCTTAAAGGAGCCATTACCTCATTTTATCATCCATGTTCTGATGGTGTTTTCTCATCACAAACAGACCTGGGGGTATTCCATGAAGAAAGCTAAAGCGAAAGCCTGACTTATTCAGCCAATCCAGGCTTATCAAAGCTTCAGTTCCATTCAAACAACGTGACTGCACTAACAAACACCCAGAAACACACCTGGTCAGGACCAGACTGTCAAGATTATTTTAGCTCTGTCTCCAAGAACATCTAAAGAAACAGTTTAGTCAAAAGTTTCAGCATCACATATCTGTGTCAGAACACCGCTAGGTCTGATACAGTTTAAACAGTCACATTTAGAATCATGTGTCGCTTGAGTCCATATGCTGCTACACACGGGACAAATGTGTGTAGACGCGAGACACACGTGTGCGTGGACGCTGCACTCATCAAAAAGGCACAAACCATATAAAAGCCTATGACCATTACTTCATTCATATGATGTTGCACATGTGTCTGCTGTGAGGGGCAGTGCAGCTTTTACACACACAGACGCTGGTTTGGACTGAGGATGACTGTGGGTTCTGTCTGTTCTCTCCTTCATCACGTCTGTCTCTCTCTCTTCATTCCCTCGTCTCTCGCTCGCTGTAAAACATGTCTGCACGGATTTTTTTTTGTTTCTTGTTAGAGAACATGGGAGGTCTGTTCCTTTTACGCACAGCTGAACCTAAAGCTCCACAAGTACTACTGCGCTTCGGGAAGGGGTCGGGCAACTTCATTCCCAGAGCAACCAGGCTCCTCACTCCACAGCAGCCTCCACTCTGTCCATGGAGTGACCGGGAGGAGTTCAGTTCAGTGTCCTATATCAAACTCTTGTCCGTGCACTGTGGTTCCTCTCCCATTTAATCAGATCATGAAAAAAGTCACACTTTGAGCCCATTTTCCGTGATGTAATTGCTTCATTGCTCTGGCCTTCTCAGAGTCACTGCGAGCACAAAGCGCAGCTTAAACTTCAGGCCTGAATTAGCTTTGCTCAGACTCAGGCTTATTTCTGTCATGGAATGACTTGAAGCTTAAGCTGGAGGTGGAGCTGGTTTTAGCTCAGGATTTCAGAATAAGTCTGGACTTGTTAAGAGACTTTGATGGAAAAGCCCCCTGGAGTTGTGTTTTGTTTCATTCTTATGTTTAACACAAACCCTTCATAATTACATTACTACATAATTCTTCTCTTAGACTAAAAACAATCTGTTCCACCTTGTGATGTCATGTGGTAATACAGGAAATGCTCCACACACCTTCACTAGAATCATTTGAATGATTTCAGTCCTAGAATTGCCAGTCTTTAGTGAACTAAAGGTAAAAGGAGCTGTTCACTTCATGACATCACAAGGTTGAAAAGAGCATTTTGAGCTTTGGAAACAGCCAGACTAACAACAAAGGATTACACAGACCTGTGTGAATGAAACAAAAAACAACTCTAGGTCTGTTTTTAGGAGGTAACAGCGTTATAACACGTCTTAAAGCTCACAGGGGTCTATCAGACCTTTAAAGTGCATACCACAGGTTTTCAGGCTCTAATTCTGACTTGGTTTGGTGGGACAGGTCCTGTGGTGAATATTTATCAGTTTTACATCAATTAAGTGACATAACTATGGTGTAATTTGGACAAGTTTTAGGCCCTTGTTTACATTAAGGTTGCTAGGGAGCAGTTATGGACCTTGAGGTTTGTCATATCTGCTGCCTGTGTCCAACCAGGATATAACAAAATACACATCACCAGAATCATCACAAGATTATTGAGATACATGTTTCATAAAATACTGTTGGCTACATTAGAATGAAAGGAGTAGTATGCACTTCAAGTTATGTCCAACCATCATAGAGAAACTAAATATCTGGAATAGTCAGTCAGTTGGTTCCACATGATTCTGATCTGACAGATAAAAAGTGTGGACACACCTAGTTGTTTCTTTACAGTTGTCACCCAATAAAATGCCAGTTAAAATGAACAGAAGACATCATACAGAATGATTCTGGGCTGTTTCCTGAGCTAGAACTACAAATCAGGTACAGGGCCTTCAAGAAGTGGAAATACAACATCTAATCTTCAAAACTTCCGCTAAGAGTCCCCATGATAACAGATGTGGAGATAGGTCATTTTATGTCATAGTTCTGAGACTACTTCTACTAGACCAAGACCAGACCCAGCCTAGACCCAGGACTAAAATCAGCAGTAAATCCAGGACTGAACCAGGTCTAAACCAAGCAAAAACCACACACTAGACCAGGACTAGAGCAAGGCTACAACACCATAATTGAGTAAACCAACCAAGTGCTAAGCCTGGACTGAACCAGGTCTAACTCCACACTAGACCAGGGACTGGAGCAAGATTAAACCAGCTATAAAGCCAGAACTAAATCAGGTCCAAACTCAATACTTGGGCAGGACTATCAGTGATTCCTGTACATTTGACTTGGGGTTCTGTCACACTGACAGCAGTTGTTGCACCAAACATTTCATTGAAACCAGAAGCTCTTAGTTGGGCTTGTTTTTCATTGGTGTCACAGTCACACTCGGATCTGCATTAAACCACTAAATCACTGAGACTGCCTCTTTTTTGAGCTCTTGGACCGCTTGACCAAATGCCAAACTCTGATACAGTAGGTCCAAACAAAATGTAAGGATACCAATTATTTCATTTCCTGTTTGTGGTGAGTGAAGAAGACATGAGGCAAACCTCGAACCGAGGCAAAATGTGGCCCAAGTAACAGTGGATCGATCAAAGGAACCAGAACTGATTTAATGAGCCATTCACAGGTTCAGTGTAGCGGCCGTGTGGACTTAGACCTGCACAGCTTCATCTTTGAGACAAGCATCTGTTACTGGCAGGATCAACCAGGTCGCCCTGTGTAAACACTGGGTCAGCGGGCCCCCGCGCCCTGGTTAAGGGCTGTGACGGGGGTCGGGGTTGGGTCTGGACACTTGGTGGTCCATAGGTTTGTGAGTCAGAGATTTCCGGGGCAGGGAGAATCTTAGGCAGGATTCGAGAAACGTAAGGTTCATAGAAAAATTAGGGACTGGCCTATGCCGTCCATACCCCGAGGAGGGGCTCCATGAGAAGGCCACTGAGTGAGACAGTGTGTTTCAGCCTCACTTTTGCGAGGTCTGGTGTACGGGAGAGCCTTGCGTCCCCGAGCCATGTGCAGTGGAGACCGCTGTGCACAGGAGTCTTGGATGTACATCAGTCGGACTAGTTGTGGTTGGTGTGAAAGCACCCTTAGAACAATTTCAAGTCTTAGTTGGAATTTCAAAAAATGTCACATGGAATTGAATATTTAGTCATTTTTTAAATTCAAATTTGAGCTCATGTTTGATACTGGGGACCACATTAGCGGAGGGTACAGTCTTAACTCCTTCCTTAAAACGTTACTAAAAACAAAACAAAAAATGGAAAACTGCCTTATTTTTACATTTTATGTCAAATATTTTAGCCCTGAATTCACGTTGGACATGTGATCTACAGCTTCAACTACACTGAGTAAAACATGGCACCAATGAGACAAGGTTTAGAAGCCCTATATTATGCTAATTAGCTATGGGATTTCCTGAAGCATAACTTGGAAATTCCTCAAAGACTTCCTTGCGCCATCTGCTAAAAATTTAAAGTTGCACTATATTAACTCGACCATGAACTTGCCTGACATGTTCCATAGTATGACATTAAATTTGTATATTTTACTTTTATTCTATTATAAATGTATTTATTGCTAAAAATATCTTGATAAACATACATTCTTACTGTAAGCCTTTCCACAGATCTGACCTGTAACCTGACCTGGTGGCAGTACCTTCATGTTTTCTTGGAATTAAGACACATTTAATGTCATACTGTGAAACATTCCAGGCAAAACAATAACATCTCCATGGAAACACGTAGGTGGTTACTTAAAACATCTTTAAATTTGTTGATACACAGTTCCTGCAGATGCATGTGATGGCAAGTTGAAAAGTAGCAGCTTTTATGAAGCTAGAAACAGTAGTAGAGAACATCACCATGGAGGAGCTTTCAAGATTACAACTTTCTAGACTATGTAGGATTCCTGAAACAAAACACAACTCTAGGTATGTTTTTGATGAGGAAACTATATTACAACATGGTTAAAACTTCAAAAACTCAATTTAGCATAATATAGGCCCTTTAGTTGTAACCATAGACACTTTTCTTAGCCGTTTGGTACCACACATGCGAGGACTTCTCAAGCAGGGACGACGGAGATACTCAGATCAAGGCTGCGTTTAATACCACAAGTTGTACTCTTGGTATAGCAGGATCCTTTCATGCAGACGTACCTCTCCTCTCGCAGTTTTTGGACAAAGTGCGATGGTGTCCTTTGTTTCTGGTCCAGTTTTTTTGCCTGTTCAGGTTGAGTAGTTGAGCTAAAGCGTGCGTCTCTGCTCGTGTGTTACCAGTGTAAAGTGTATTGGGTGGATGGGGGTGGATTGGGACTATAGGAAAGCACTGGGGTTAGCGCGGGGGTCCTTCTGGTTTCTGTAGCGAACCGCGAGCCAAACTCCCAGAATCTGTCAATGAAAAGCACAAGACGAAAGGGAATGTAAGAACTGAGTGCTGAAAGAGTCAGTTTGTGTAAATGAAATGCTGAAGCATTTGCCTGGTGCCGTTCACATTACCAAGTGCTGCTTTGCAGCTGTCATCAACATTCTCTGGAGTTGTGTTGCTAACTGTAGGCTTTGCTCTGTCTGAGGCTTTATTAGACTTTAACCTGTGCTTTATTTTAACACAATCCGGCCATAAAGAACTGACTTAGCTGAAACTACAGCAGGTGAGCTGATTTGTGCTGTTAAACAAGTCTCTCTCACATAAAATTACAGTCAGAAGCTAGTTAGCATTAGTCAATATTTTTTTATTTTTAAGGACACTCATCATTTTTGTTGACAGCCAAACATCTAAACTGGATCATGAACACTTGGATTGATAACAGGCTTCTGAAAATGTGTTGGTTAAATCCATTTTTTGTTTTTCTTAAAACTTTTGTGCGCATTGTTTCATCATGGTGACTACTAAACCATCAGATACTCAACACCCCAAACGTGATGTCACTGTTAAGTATCAACAGGTAAGACTGATGCATTTGGAAAGCCAGTTCCTCCTACTTGTGTCCTAGACGTTTACAAGTTGATATAGTAACAGAATGATGGAATATACAGAAGACAGCTCTTGAATATTCTCCTATCAGTCACTACTTTAACCTGAGATGAGATTGGCGCTGTTTCTCAGATCTCTGGGTTCTTTTTTTCCTTTTTTTCAAAACTGCACACATCCGTCAGTCTGTGTACTGACCTCTGTGAAACTGAAGAACAGTCCCACTCCTCCCAGGATCTTCAGAGCTTCTGTGGCGTGGTTCAACATTTTCCCTCCACAAGTCGCACAGTCGTTTTCCTTTTTACAAAACTGAAACACACACACACATTAAGAGTCATATAACATTTACTTTTATACAGTGTGAAACTGCATCGGGCTCATGAGCTGATACTTTATGGCTGATGTCATCAACATTCCCTCTGGGCATGACGCTAACTGTAGGCATGCTCTGTCTGAAGCTCTGCTACTAAAGTTAGACTTTAGCTTTGTTTTAACACACTTTGACCGCAAAGAACTGATTTAGATGGAACTCCAACAGGTGAACTTGTGCTGTTACACATGTCCCTCTCAAATAACATTCTGGTCACAAGCAGGCTAGCATTAGTCAACAGTTTTTCAGTTGGACACTCAACTTTTTGTTGAAAATCAAAAACCTAAACAGGACCATGAACACTCATGTGGATCACAGATTCCTGAAAATGTGTTGTTTAAATTAGTTTCATATTATTTCAGACATTTTTGATAGTGTTTGCTAATGACACTATGGCTAGAGGACACTATGGTGTATAGCCCAACTGGGCCTGGTTAGTATTACCAGGTGCCACAGTAGAAGGCTATGAGGTTATCAAACATGAGTGGAGGGGTGCGAGATCATTTTGCAAAATAATTTACAAACTAGAAAAGCACTCAGAGAGCGCAGACCTCCGCCAAGGACTACAGTCCCCCTCATATTTATTGTGTTTTCCATAAATATTTGTCTCGTATCTTTCAATTTGGACTATGAAAGAGGATCCGATTGTCCATCCCTGAGTCAAATTTCATGGGGTTTGGTCAATAATTAACTGAGATATTGAGAAACAAAACTTTTGGCCCCATTTACCACAATGTTAACTAAAATTTCAAAGTGATCCAGAATCCAGGATTTCTTCCGGATCACCCCCAAAATGAAATCAGTTCTTCCTTTTCACATTTCCAACAAATCCTGAAAATTTCATCAAAATCAGTCCATAACTTTTTGAGTTATGTTGCTAACAGACAAACAAACAAACAAACAAACAAACAAACAGACAAACGCCGGCAAAAACATAACCTCCTTGGCGGAGGTAATTATGAAGACTGCCTTTAATGGTTTTTTTTTAGGGTTGGGCAAAAATAAAAAATCTCAAGCGCACGAGTTCCTGTGATGAATCATATTAATCACATGTTATGCACAAACCCCAATAATGAATTCAAAAGAAGCACATAGCACATTTTTATTGGAAATGTAAATGAAAGTGTCGTACAATTGTTGTGCAAACAGCATTTCTTTATACAGTAGCAGGACACTAGTCTGTAAAGTCCATACTTTACATACTTCCTCTTTGGAGAGTGCAGTTTGTCAGTTCCTAGAATTTGACTTGCATTGAATTGAAAAGTAAAGGGCATGTGATCAGTGTTTAAAAACAAAAGAGAAAGAGAGAGAGAGAGAGAGAGAGAGAGAGAAAGAGAGAGAAAGAGAAATTTATATATATATATATATATATATATATATATATATATATATATATATATATAAATATATATATATAGAGAGAGAGAGAGAGAGAGAGAGAGAGAGAGAGAGAGAGAGAGAGAGAGAGAGAGAGATTACGGCTGGTCAAAAATGTAAAATATTAATCACATTTTTCAGTGAGTAATACACACTACACTAGTAATCATTTCTAGATTATTGTTATAAACTTGGACTGATATTTCTTGGGTTAATATAATGGAATAGAAATGGACCAATGGCATCTGGGTAAATCAGTGACTCTCCCTGCAGCACTGAACTAAAGATACACCTGCAGAGCCTTCGGTGGCTGGAACGAAGTTTGAGATTGACAGTTGTCTGAGCCAATCATACTTCATTGAGTTATGGGCGGGATCATATCATGAAATCTTCCGGGCCTTCGCAAATACCCTGTAATAGCATTATGTAAGTGAGACTGCACCAACAAAAACCACACTGGACACCTCTGTTTGGACGCCTCAGGCGCGTCTGGAAGAAGGAGAAGACAGAGAAAGACCCGTGAACCGGAGTACGTGGTCCGGTCGCAGCTAGGAGCCCGCGGAAGCTCAGAGCCCATGGTTGGTCCGGCCTGGACCCACGGAGGCTCGGACACATTGCATCTCATGTGGTCAGAAAAAAGTGTGAAGAAAAGACGTCAAACTTAAAGAAATGCTCGTGGTGGACTTTTTCAAAATAAAAGCAATTGAGCAACAGACGTTTACAATAAAAAAATAAAAAATAAATAAAAACATTAACGGCGTTAAAATAATTGTTGGCGATAATGAATTAATTAGTGAACGCAAAATTTACGCGCCTGGCCCTAATATAGATATATACATACACTCACACACACAGAAGCATTATCTTTGAGTAAAATAAGGTTCAGTCACATGAATAGTGGGGCCAGCAGTAAAGCCAAGTTCTAATAGGATGAGATGTAATGGTGGTAACTCACGGCGGGACAGCTGGCATAGTCCGCGTCGAAAGAGGTGCTGGAGTTCTTAAAGAGCCCACAACAGTTGAGCTGCGTCTCCAGGTCCATGCGGGTTTTGTTCTGAAGAATACTCCACGCCGAGCTCAGCAGGGCCTCCTGGGGACAGAGGAGAGAAACATGGATTTAACATAATAAACATAATAGTAGTATAGACCGCAGAGGAGTGCTCTTACCTGCTGCCCGCGGTTCATGGCCAAACAGGAACAAGAAACTCCAAATTGGAACAAGAACACAATAAACAGGATCACCATGTACTGGAGAGAAGGTTAAGGAAATTATTCATGTTTTTTTTCCATCAAAAGAGTTATTTTGTTGAAAGCACTGCTCTGAGTCATAAAACCTGCTTTCTCAATTCATGGTCAGTTTTGGAGTCTGGGTATAAACATGGCATTACATTAGATTAGGATTACTTCAGCACTCGTTCAATAAATAGTTTGAACCCTTTTGTTATTACCCGATGACATGAACCAATGAAGAAAGAAACAAGCACAAAGCCAGGTATGTTTTTGGTCCTGTAACATTTGTCTTTCCCATTACAGCTCTTGAAGTGCCTGTTGTGTACCATCTGCATCTAAATATAAACTGTTACATTGTCAAAGAGAAGAGTGGTTAGCATGCTAGTTAACATTACTATGATAACAAAACTGAAATCATAAAATTCATCGTGGTGAATAATTAGGATGCTCTGAATGCATTTTTACATTTTAAGTCAGTAAAAATAAAGTGTAGTGCCTTCAAATAAGGTATACAGAAAAACTTAAAAAATTTATGAGAAAATAGAGCAGACCCAAATAAAGGATACAAAGAAGAGCATGACTTGGTGGTGGTGAATGGCTCCGATCAGCCCCACAATGGCAATGAGGAGCAGGAAGAATCCCACTGCGATCACGCCTCCGATGATGTGGATACTGGAGACCAGACCGAAGCCTTTTCCCCAGGCCGCTACTCCAATCAGCAGCAGACCCACCAGCTACAGGAGGGAGTGAGGGAGAGGGAGGGAGGAGAAAGAGGTGAGGAGGGGGCGAAAGAAACAGGGAGCAGAGGAGGAAAAAGGCAGGAGGTGGGGTAGAGGAAAGAAGGAGAAAAGAGAGGCAAGGGGGGAGAGGGATGAGATAAGGGGGATGGGAACAAGACACAACTATTACTATCAGGTGAGTGGTGGTGGTGATGGTCAGATGAACAGATTTTGTTGCTGAAATAAATTCTATATGCTAATTGCGACCAATGAATTTCATTTTAGGATCATCTTAAAGTTCAAATGATGAGGCTGAGTATGTTTGAATTGAGCTGACAGATTCCTCTTGTTGTTGTGGCCAAACAGTAAGTGGTTTCCATGACAAAGCACTTTTCTACCTCTAGACAAAGGATTACCACCTGATGATGTAAGGACGTGGTCGCTGGAGTTTTGAGCTCTGGAGAGAAACAGACTAAACATGCAGGACATCTCAAACTTAAACAAATTAAATTAAACAAAACATAACTCCAGCTATATTTTTGATAAAGAGTCAAAATTATAACAGCTAAAAATGTTCAACACGTCAGCAGCATGTAATAATCATCTTTCGTGTTGAAGCGTGATTTTCCGCTCCTCTGGCTCCACAGTGACTCATGTCTTACATGACACGGGCCTCTCTCACAGCACAGATCTGTTACATCAGAGTCTGACTGGGGCCAGAGCTGCACCGGGGTCAGACACACGCAATTATTCATCAATACACTTCTATTCAGAGACCATCACTTACTTTCTGAATATATTTTAATTCTAAAAGCATTTAAGTAAAATGTAGGTGATGCTGCAAGGAGAAGTTACAGGCCACGTCTGTGGAGAGGGGAGTCATAGCAGTTACTCATAGAAAGAATGGATATTTTGGTTGGACATATAAATTGATGTAAGACTATTTACTGGTTGGGGTTGGCAGGTCAGCCCAGAAAACCTTATAATATTTGAACTTTTAATTATACAAACTTATTCTGTAGTTAAGTTACTTGATGAATAAATAACAGCTACTTAACACATTAGGATCAGTTTGGTTATTTTTGTTTTCAGTCTCTGCACTGGTGTGTGTTAATATCAGCAGACAGTATAGTACTGATGTCAGTATCAGAATGAAAAAAGATCAGAGCATCTCTAGTAAACTCATTTTTAAGCAACAGGACTGTTCCTCTAGTACTGTTTAGTCACTCTTCACACCCACTATGCAGACAGTCTACACTCAGTCTGTTTAAACAATATATTGATTTACTAAAGTATCACTGATTAGTGTCCTAGACAACCAGATTTGTAAACAGAGGTGAGATAAACACAGACAAATTTATCATTTCACAATTGTTGTTCTGGAGATATGCTAAATTAAAATACTGAATATGGTCTATTATTAAAATGATTAAAAAAGGCTGCATAAAGGGATGATTAAAAAAAAATCTAAAAATATATATAATAAAAATTTCTATTCATGTTTTGAGCAATACTTTAACCTCTATCCATCCATTTTCTTCGCATTATCCGGGCCCGTGTTGAATAATACTTTAAACTTAGTTCACATATTGTAAATTGAGAGAGAGAGACATTAGGCACAATAACCCTATAACCTTATGTCCTGTCAATTATCAGATCATTTTGGGCATTTTTTGTCTTCCTTATGATCTCTTGTATATAGCAGAGATTATATATAACTTTATTTTTCTATTTTACTTTGGCTTGTACATTTACGTTTACATATGTATGTTTTATTTGACACCAGTTTCTTGCATGCATCATACTCCTTGTTATTATAGATGTATTGAGATGTATGCTTGTCTAAGTCTCTAAAGTAGTTTTCAAGTGTTCAACCCGGGTACTAGGGTTAAATTGTAAAAGAAATGTTGAATTTTAAAAATTAACAACAGACATCTAGATCCCCAAAACTCCTTTAATCACTAACGTTCTTTGCTGCACCACATCAAAATCTTAATGAGAAAATAACAGGCTGATTCACACCCTTTGGAACAAAAGAGCCAGGAAAACAACGGACACCTCTTCACTATCACTATTACTGACACAACAACAATTACACAGGTCCACACGGTGCACAAAACAGCTGCTTTAATCATAATTTACTATTTTCTTTTACATTTCCAGCAAGTTATCCTACTATCTTCGTCTTTAGTTTGGTCAGCAGATTCCGTGTTGACATTTCACATGACTACCACAGCTAACATCAGATCACCCGCACTGGATTAAGTATCTGAACATCAACTATAGACGTAGTGAAAACTCCAGCACGCTACAGTTACAGCTCTGTCGCTGCGCTGTTAAAAAACATCAACATTACACAATAGGACAGCCACAGCTGAGAGCTAGCACAAGCCTTAGCATGCTACTGTCAAGCTAAGATACTACATCTACAGAACTAGCTCTTCTACGACTCTAGATTATAGTCTTTCAACAAACTGTGGGTCAGATTTCCTCATAAATACATACCAGGAAACGGCCTGCTCAGCTGCGTGTGAGATAAACGTAAACCACTCATTAAATCGTGAAAGAATGAAGCCCGGATTGATGCTAACAATGCTAATGTTGCTAGCTCCGCTGGCTGCGCGGAGCTTCATGCTTCAGCTCACCATATAAACCACGTTGAGGGAGCACAGCGCATTTTTCGAGCAGGTGAAGCCCCCGCAGACCATGTTTGACCCCCGCAGTGTCCGGCCCGGGCCCGTGTCGCGATAGAAGCCGGTGTTTAAGTGAGATTTTCCCCGCAGATTGAGAGACTGAAGCGCTGTTGCGTCGCCGCCGCTGCTGCTGCTGCTGCTGGTGACGCTGCGAGGCGTGTCTGACTCTGATGACGTCAAACGCACGCCACGCAGAAAAAATGGTTTGTGGAAATGAACTTCCTCAGTAAAACCAAAAAAAGAATCATTACAAAACATTCCAGCTTACCTAGTTACTCAACAGGAAGAAAGAAAATGCTTTGTGGTAAATATTACACAAAAATATGATATGAATATGAACCAAAGAGTTTATTATTTATTATGTATTTATTTGTGTGCGTTATTTATGTTAGGGCAAAGTAAGTTTGTTTCCCTATTTATTAACGTTAACTACACTTTTTATGCATCACTTTGCATTTCTATTTTTTGTATATTACAGGTACATTCAATAACTTGACCACTTTCTACCTGAAGTTGTATTGTAAGTATGAAATTCATTGTTCAATTCGTCCAACAGAGCAAAGGCTGACAGTCAAGCAGCTTCAAGATGCACTGTATTATTTTTCGGTTGGGGCTCAATGGATATGCTATTGCTCTGTCTGGAATGTTCCACAGTATGACATTAAATTCTATTTTACTTTCATTATTCAATTACTGGTGATGTTATAGCTCAAAAAATACCCAGAAAAACAACCATTCTGACTGAGTGGAGTGGAGATCTGACCTGTCATCTGGTTTGGTCTCCAAATATTAGAAAGGTTTAATATCACACTGTGAAACATTTCAGACAAAGCAAAAAAACAAAACAAAAAACCACTAGAAATGTTACACAATACACCTTTAAATAAGGCAAAAACAGTAGCTGCGACAAGAAGATGTGACAGTTTGAAATGATCAGAATGAGTCTGCTAATGGTGACTGAATGGACCAAGCATCTGGAGGTCTGGAGAAGGAGATGGCTGAAACACAACTGTTGGTATTTTGATGAGAAAGCGACATTAGAATATGGTTAAAAAGTAACAGGTCAAATCCAGTCCCTTTTCTCTCAGGAGTTTAGAGTGAATGGAGGTACAACTGAAGGAGGAGATGAGTTTGGATACAACATGAAGTCCAGAGTCCTCAACCTGTTTACTGGTAAGAAGTGCTACTAGCCAATGTGTATAAATATATGATTTAAATATCTTAAAAGCTAATAGCCCAGTAATAATTTACTTAACCACTTTTTTTTATTCTTCAAGATCATTAAGAGAAAAAATGTGAATATTTGGGAAGGTGGGCTTAAATGGTTTGGAACTGACTTGGCCTGATCTAGTGTGAACTCACCTTCACTGCAATAACATGAAATCTATTGATTCAATAATGTATTCTCATTGTCAAATGACTATTGCATAACATTACATAACAAATACAACAATAATTATGCAGAGGTGGGTAGTGTAGGCAAAAAAATTTACTCAGGTAAGAATAATATTTCTTCAAATAATAATAATATAATATAATAATAATATTACTCAAATAGAAATACAAAGTAGTGGTCCAAGAAGTTACTCAGGTAAGAGTAACTTAAAGAGTAGATGTCGAGACTCGAGATGTAACATCTGAATTAAAACTTAAAGTGAATGTAATTTTAAGGACAGAAGTTTGAAATAATGCACAAAATTTGCTATTAGGGATAGAACAGGAAAAACAAAATCATATCTGAAGGAGCTGCAAGAAACACAAATACTCAAATCATTTCATATTGTCACATAAAGCTTTTGTCACATTGTAGATTTACTCACAGTGGGAACAAGAACCACAACTTTTACTCGTACTGTTACCTCAGTAAAAATAGGAGTAAAAGTATGCTGCTAGAAAAGTACAGTTTCCTTACAATATTGCACGTAAATGTATTTCTCCACCTGTCCAAAAAAGTGTATTTTTCCGATAGCCTAATGCGCAGTCTCTCAGTAACCCTTTTAACTGAGCTGGTGTTACAGCTACTGACGAGAACATGATTTGAAAAAAGGAAGTGAAGTCAGTTATGTTTGAACCTGCAGAGGAAGGTTGTGGTTTTAAACGAGAAAGACACTGTTTGCTAAGCAGTATCCTCCTCTCCTTCAGAATTTTATATTAAAAAATATAAGATCAAATGGGATGAAAAGACATTAATTTAGTGGATTTTTGAGTCAGGATGGGCAGCACCGGCAAATCTGCAAACTCCACCGCGATAAAAGCAGAGATCAAGAGGCATGACGGACTCCAGAGCGCAATCAACCGTCTGAACAAGCAGTTTGAGAGAGTTAGCGACGCACAGCTACGGTCAGGCCTCAAAGTCTACCTGCACAGCATCCAAGGTAAGAACACAAGAAATATAATAACTGGGTTTCAGATGATACCACAACATTCTGCAGGCCAATATTGTTTAATATAGAAGGGCAGGTGAAATTGCTATATTTAAAATGCTGTTTTAAAAAAAAATATTCTAGCTAGGGTTGCCAAAAGTATCAAAAATCAGATACTAATCGATACTAAAACTAGTATCGAAATTAGATACTCATTTGAAGTATCAATACTGATATCAAAATCTAATTTCACATTTCCTGAACACTTTTAGTGTCATTTTGAGCTTTTCCCAAACAAATGTAAAACCTCATGGTAACATAAAGAAATAGAAACAATATGAAAATGACTTGCTTCTTACAATTACGTTAGTAAAAAAGTTATATTTTTTTATCTTCATTGTGGTATTGTAATCGGTATTGAGTCAGCTGATTACTAATGAAATCGAGTTTGGAATTTTTAATATCGTGAAAACACTAACTGGTGAAAATAGGACTGTTCCCATAGCGATAAACAATTTAAAACAAAATTGAAAGAAAAAACTCTTGAATGGGAAAAAAGTCCTCAAAATGTTGCACATAACAGGAAGCTGAAAAACTTTTTAGTATCTGAGAATCAACAGTAGTCGTCAGTAAGCTATTTTTAATATGACCTGAATTCAGAAGTTGAATCTTAAATGTGACTTGATGGTGGAGTAAAGCTGCAAGAATCACATTTCAGAACATGTTTGTGCAGATCGTAACTACAGGGTTAGCAGCTTTTATGTACAATAAGTCAGGAGATATTGATGTTCATGGAGGAAATGATTTTACTTAAAAAAATGTGCTGTTTGTGATGTTATTTCTTTGCCTTGAATGTTCCACAGTATGGCATTAGACTTCTGTATCTCCATGGCAAAATGTAGGTGATACTGCTAGGCTTACTACTGCAAGTTACAGGTGACATCTGTGGAGAATGGAGCCCATAGTAGTGACTCATAGTAAGTGAAGGAAAAGCAGTAACATCTCCCTAACCACAAAGTTACACAATGTACCTTTAACTAGGTATTTTGACTAGATTGCAAAGAGTCACTAATCACTGGCCCGGATCTTGACATGTCTGTCTTTAAATATATTCAAAGTTTAAGTATCTAACAACTGTAAGTGGAATGTCTAAATATATAAAATGTCTAAAAATGCACAGATATTACTTTATACCCTTGTTTGAAAGATGACATCATAAGTTAATGTGTTATTTCTTATTGTTCTATCAGATTTTTTTTTACAGATTTTGAGAGTTTTGTTACTCTAAAATACATATTCAATATTCAAATTTGACATATCTTCAAAACAACATTCATAGCAATTCAATATATTGCTCACTTCTGGGTCAATTTCCTAAATCCTTGTTACTAAATATATCTGTAACACTTTATACTATATACTATATTTATTGAACAAATAATCTAATAAAAAGTCAGGCTTTGTAACTAGGGTTTAGAGTTAGAGTTCTAATTAAGTACCAGTAGTTACCTCTAATATTTACAGAGCCTATTACTAAGCCATTTTAAAAAAATATATATTATTCAACAACTATTATATTTTTAGAGATGCACTATGTAGATTTCCTGATGGAGAATCTATCATTTGTTGTCTCCATGGAGATGTGCTTTGTTTGTAATGTTACACCATGTGGCTCACTTCTGTATCTTGCATTTGCTGGTGTTTTGTTGCTCAAAGATGCCTTGAAAAACATGCATTCATACTGTTAGCCTCTCCAGAGATCTGATCTGTAACTTGACCTAGAGGTAAAATCTTGTTTGTTTTGGAGATCGATACATTTAATGCCGCACCATGGAACATTCCAGGCACTAACATCTGCATGGAGACAAGCAGGTGGCAGAGTCTCCACTAGAAAAGTTACATACGCTTCTTCAAGGCTAATTAATGTGCAGTTACTATTATTAGTTTTAAGAAGAACCAATGAATCTAAAGTTCTATTCATACATTTTTGTATATTTTACCTCATACTCATACTGCAAATGTGTACAGGGGGTGTGTGGTAGTGATAGTACAAAACGATTGAGATCTGGTGCTTCCTGTCACTGTGTCTCTGAGAGGAAGTCACTCGTCTCTCTGAAGGTGTCTGAGTCCTGCAGTTCATTTTATAGAATTTCATTATGCACACGTTTCATATAGAGGGCAGTGTTTCATCTAACAAATGACTGAGAGATATATGTGAAAGAAATGTCTAACAGAAAATCTACTATTGAACCTAAAGGGCCCATATGACACCATTTTCTGATCTGTTATAACATTTCCTCATCACAAACAGACCTGGAGTTATGTGTTGTTTCATTCACACATGTTTAACGCACAAACTCTGTATTCTTAGAGTTCTTCTCTCAAAATGCTCTGTTCCTGCCTTGTGATGGTAGTGACGTTTGTTTTCAAGTTATCAGTAGCTTTTACCTTTAGTTCACTAGAGACTGGCAATTCCAGAGCTGACATCATTCAACTGATTTTAGTGATAATGTATCGAGCACTTCCTGTATTACCACATGACATCACAAGGTGAAAGTACCCTAAGTGTTTTTGTTGGAGAGAACTCAGCCTATGTATGGTGGGTCTGTGTGTTAAACATGTGTGAATGAAACAAAACACAACTCCAGGTCTGTATGTGTTGAGGAAACTACATTATAACATTATAACATTACAACATTTTTTGGAAGACGCTGTAACCTTTCTCTGCAAGCACTTCATGGGGAATGTGTTTATTATAGTGTTGGAGAGGACCCAGTAATTACAGAAATATTAAGGGTTCATTATTATCTATATCAGGGGTGGGCAATTATTTTTTCCATGGGACCACATGAGAAACAGAAAATATCATGGGGGCTAATTCAATTCTGCATAATATGAATTGTATTTCTTTATAAAAAGCCGTAAATCTCATTGTTTTGATGAGCTGCTCAGACGGGTTATGCCTTTTTACAAAAAAAGTCATAAAAAACACCTCTAATTTAAAAAACAATTCAGCTTTAGTCCATTTATGAGGTCAAATTATAAAATATGTTTATTTTGTAATTCCAAATGAGCTTAAACGGGCCGGTCAGAGTCAACCAAAGAGCCGTATGTGGCCCGGGAACTGTACAGTGCCCAGGTCTGCTCTGTATTATCCAGCACCTGCATGTTTTTATGGAGATCTTATTGTTATGCCTCGAATGTTCCACAGTATGGCATTAAATGTAACTATCTCCATGGAGACAGGCAGATCCCACCTCCAGGCCATGTTAGGGCTTTAGAAACACCATTTCTTAGTTGATGGAAAATAGGTATGTTTAGTCTCATACTGTGGAACCTTTAGGCATGTGGGTATGAGCTTTGCTTCATCCATCCCCTTTTCAAACCATGCATGTTCGTATCTGCAGCTGTTTGTTACATCGTTATATGAATTGTAACTGCAGATTTGAAATAACTAACTAACTAACTATGACAGACCTGGGCATTGTACAGCTCTCAGGCCACATACCACCCTTTGGTTAACTCTGACCGGCCAGTTTAAACTCATTTGAAATTACAAAATAAACATAATTTATCATTTTATCTCATGCATGGATTAAAGCTGCATTGCTTTTGTTTTCAACGTGTTTGCTTTAAATGACATTTTTTGTTTGGCCACCTCACTTTTTCACTCTTACCATTCAATGATATTTACTACTTTTTATAAAGAAATACAATTAATATTATACAAAATTTAGTTAAGAATTTTGACCCGGCCCTACACAATATTTAAAAAGATTTGCCCACCCATGAACTACAGCGATAACATTTCCATGGAGACAAGCAGCTGAGAAAAGTGACATAGTGCTCTTTTAAATGAACCATGAACCATGAACTTGGTCAAATCCTCTTGCTTTTCAGTCATTTGTAGAGGATTGTCAGGAGGATTGTCTTCCCTGGCTGCCCTGTTTATAGGAGGAAGTAGACAGTTGAGTCTCCCTTGTTGTTGAGCTACACCTTACACAGAAGTGTGGTCAGGACAGTGCGCCAAGGAGGAAGTGGTCAGGGGGCGGAGCTCATGGCAGACAGGAAGTCGGTCTTTTCTGCTGCCATCGTGACAGAGAGCGAGAGTTTTCATTGGTTGAGCAAGTCTAGAGGCCAGCAAATATGCCAGCTGGTTGGAAATCCAGCTTGAGAATCAAAACAGACAATGTTACATTACAACATTATTTCATGTGGTCAGTAAATTCAGTGACTGATTGGTTTATTTCATTTCTGAGAACAGAGATATGTAATGTGTATGAAATATTTAGTTTCAAACTACATATAGTGTTATTATATTAGAACGTTTTAGTGTGCAATCCATACACTGTATGGACATAGCTAACCTGCTAGCCACTGTGTTTCAAATAGGATGTTATCATGGGAGCAGTCTGGCTCTATTGGCTCTGTCAAATTCACTTTCTATTGAAAAATCATTGCCCCGTCTCTGTAACTGCTGCTGTCAGGCTCGTCATCTTGGTCTTAAAGTGTTTGTATTAACTTGATAAATTTTAAACATATTAGAAATTCTTTAACAACTGAGCTCAATCCACAGCCAGAGAAGAGGGCAGTATTCCAAGATGCACAACCTCATTTGGTCAATCATCATTCTCCTACAGAGTCATGAGCCTCTGGAACAGCCTCCCACATGAAACCATATGATGTTCTAATTATCAAATGTTTGCACGCCTGAACAAACAACTGCTTTAACCAAGCAAACGTGTCCACATGAATCTGCCTCGTAGCAATATGAACTGTAAATATGTAAATAGAGTTTAGATGTCCTGACTGAGACTAACTGAGATTAGTTTTACATATTGACTGACTGGATGAATGATTTTATCAATATACATTGTATTTTATTTTATTGGCATGTACGCCATTTATGACATCAACTTGTCCAGGGACTGAAGGTGGAAATGAGCAATTTGCTATAACCTGCACAAGCATATGACTTAAAACTACTCTGTAAACCAATCCACTTTACATTA